GCAGCAGCTGCCTGGGGCACTGGGTTTCTCTATGCTTTGCTGCACATGGCCAATACATTTTCCATACCCCTCTGCCATGGCAATGCCTTGGACCAGTTCTTCTGTGAAATCCCACACATCCTCAAGCTCTCCTGCTCACATGCCTACCTCAGGGAAGATGGACTTCTTGTGGTTAGTGGTTTTCTTTTTTTGGGATGCTTTGTTTTCATTGTGGTGTCCTATGTGCAGATCTTCAGGGCCATGCTGAGGAACCCCTCTGAGCAGGGACGCCACAAAGCCTTCTCCACGTGCCTCCCTCACCTGGCCGTGGTCTCCCTGTTTGTCAGCACTGGCACCTTTGCCTACCTGAAGCCCCCCTCCATCTCCTCCCCATCCCTGGACCTGGTGCTGGCAGTTCTGTACTCGGTGGTGCCTCCAGCAGTGAACCCCCTCATCTACAGCATGAGGAACCAGGAGCTCAAGGATGCCCTATGGAAACTGGCCCAACTCACCCTGTTCTACTCACAATAACCTCCCTCCCATTCTCTGAACATTTCCCAGGGTTTATGAGGCCAGAAGTCTACATTTTTCAATGTGATAATCATACTTTTACACATTTTTGCTGCTTTAGACTGCTTGTCTTGAGATTTGATCCTGTTGTGTCTGACCCTTGCACAGCACTCTGTCAGCTGTGAGCTGTGCAATAGCAACTCTTCAATAAAAGGTGATCTCCTGTGTGCAGTGCCAGCTGAGCTATTCTTACAGTGTTGCTTCCAAGAAAATGTCTAAGGAATTGGTCTTTTCTCCTTCGGTGTTCTCCCTGTGTTTGAGGTTAAACTCATGGTAACATTGGGTTCCATTAGATCAAAAGTTCTGATTTTAAAGGTTCTCTTCTTGGTGTCCAATGGCAGTGGAGATGGTTCATGAGCTCCCCATTGCCTCCTCAGGCTGCTTCACATATGACAGGACCAACAGCACAGAGTAGCGTTGTGGTTTAGCCCCAGCCAGCAACTAAGCACCACACAGCCACGCGCTCACTCCCCCTGCCCTGATGGGATGGGGGAGAGAATTAGAGGAGTAAGAGCAAGAAAACTCCTGGGTTGTGATAAGAACAGTTTAATAATTGAAATAAAGGAAAATAGTAATGATAACAATATAATAATAATAGTAGTAATAATATACAAAGCAAGTGATGCACAATATAATTGCTCACCACCCACTGACTATAAAGCATTCAACACAGTCCCCCCCAACATCCTTCTCTCTAAATTGGAGAG